GTTGGAACGAGGTGGAAAGAGGATAATTGATTCACGAACCTGAAAGTAGAAGTCGAACCCCCAGAGTCATCGCGCGTGGGTCGGTCACACACACACACACACACCCGGTCACAGAGGCCACAATTTGCTTTGCCCACCATTTGTTGAGCAAGCCCCAGTTGGATTCACCACCCAGCTAGTTGGTATGCCCGAGAAGGTAACACCTGGAAGTAAGTTCCACCTGTAAAGAGTAGAATATGGATTTCTGCAATGCTCGTCCGTCTGTGATGTTGAGCGCAAGACAGGTTGCTTTGTCTGTTTGATTGCTGGTTTGTTTGTCTATTTATTTGCGTGTTCGCGTGTTTGTCAAACTTCGGAGCCCCTGCAAGCAGCTTCCTTCTGTCTTCCCATTGAAAGCATCCCTTGTCGGGGCTACCCTGCTGACTCCATGTTGAGACTTAATTCATCATGGTGCTGTGCAAGTTAAACCAAGTCTGTGCGCCTCAGCTTCGGTCCCAGTTTCAAACCTATCTTGAAAGGGCTTTCTGGTTGGTTGCTGTCGTTTCCGGGAAAGTGCAATGGCCCGGCCCACTTTGCAAAAAAAAACGATTGCGGCCTCTGCGCCTGAGCTCAGATGCTTTATGATGCCGCTCAGGGTTCAGGCGCCAAGTTCTGTCAGCGGAGTTGAACCAACCCTCCAATCAATGTGACTCTTAGTGCCCTTCACACCTGGCGAACGTCAACACTCCGAAGCCGATTTGGTGCCCAACGTCTGCAAAGCACTTCAGCTGGAAGTTGCCTTCCTGGAAGCCCAAAAAGCTGCTGAGCCGAGCCATCACAACTTGACCCCCCGTTTCAGTCGTGCTTCGAGGGACGTGCCAAAGCCGTGATCACTGCTCTCTATGGGTTGGTCACAAACTGACCCCCACGTCTCGGGCGTTTTGCCAGGGATTATATTTTTTGTTTTTTTCGTTTTGCCAGGGATGCGTTTTTCTTTTCTCCAAACAAAGAGAAAAGGTCAAAGCCAAGAGTAAGTGAGATTGGTCCATTGCCATCCACCTCGAGCAGCTATTTCTTGAAGCGGGGGGAAAGCAACAAAGTTCCATCTCGTGTTGGTTTCCTGTTGGCCAAATTGAAAACAAAGGGGCAGGTGGCTTGGCCGATTCGATCATCCCCCTTCGGAAAACCCTCACCACAAATTACGAAGGTGCCAAATCCTTGCGAAATTTTGTTGTAGTAACTTCCATTGGTACTTTGAGACACATCCTCTCGTACTTTTGGTACCCTTCAAGGTTGTTCTAGAGGTACTGCAGCTTTGCAGGGCGTCTAACATTACACCACCTTTACAGGGGGCCTTTGCAACATGTGATCCAACGAGTTTGTGAACACCCGAACTCAAATATACTCAAATCAACGCCTTAAACTCCCAGTGTGAAAAAGGCCGAGTCGCAAAAGCCTGGCGGTCCAACAAGCCTTCGACATTCACAGAATCGCTGGCAAGGCCCAGGCATAATCACTGTTGATGCTGGAGCAGGCCACTGTCTCCGCCGTGTCGTGCAACAGATCCTGGCAAAAGAACGGCGACCGCGCCAGATCCGGCGCGCGCCATAAAACCATGGATCTGGGCAAGTTTTTGGATCCAACTTGAATCTGGGCTTCCCAAAGCAACTTGTTTTCCACAACTAACTATGAGGAAAAAATCCAACCTGAAATCAAATTCCTGGGTGGTGCTTCCTTGAGGTGAAAAAAAGGGGGCTGAAAGAAGGAACTTGAAAGGAGCCTTCATGGGTGAACCTGGTCGCAAACCCACGGTCGAGGCTTCGAATTTAAACTTGTTGGTGACGATCAACGGGGGAAGGCAAACAAAGGCAAACCGAAAGCTGATGGTCTTCCTTTCTGATTCATGATTTCCTTTTTGGTGGCAATGGTGGCAAGGGACGCCAAATAGGATACCAACCATTTTCGGATCCCCGGTCATCTCGAGCCATGTGGATTAAAAGTAGAAACCGTTCTGCTGATATAACCCTTAAAAAAAGGGGGTTCCGTGGTACAAATTCCATGTGGACTAGGGACCGTTCTGTTGGCATACCCAATTTTGCGGGTTTTCGTGGTACAAAGTCCATGCGGACTTGGGCGAATCTTGGGCGCGGATTTTCTTTGTCGCAGGTCCTGTGACAGCGCCACCTCTTGGCTCTGGTCGTAGAGCGCCACGCTCAAACTCTGCCCCGCTTCGCAGGGCAAACCCCTGGCATCCAGCGGCGGGAACGGAACAAAATTTCCCCATGGCGCCTGAAAGGGGCCGGGGGGGGCGAAAGAATATCTTTGAGGGGGAATGTTTTTTTTTTTGGCGCCTGAAAGCGGCCTTTTCGTGGCCTTTTGAGGACATTGACCTTCTGTTTGGCCATCCAGCACCTAATTCCCCCCTGGGATCCTCTTTTGCCAGCCCCCTCCCAACGAGTTGCTATCAGATGCTTTGTCAAATGGTCTTCTTTGGGCTATTTTGACCGTCATCCGGGGGTCC